TATATATATATATTATATTTTAAAAACTTAGGAAATTAATGCCCTAGTTGAGCTGACAATTAGATGTTTGTCTTTTTTAATCAAAAACTAGGATACAATTTTGCAAAAGTTGAGTGTCCCAGTATCACCCACACAAAGATAGCCTAAAAATCAGCCCACCGTGAGACATCAAAGATGGCAGTAAGCGAATTTATTGTTTGAAAGGCATAATTGATCTGATACCAATACGTGGTACCTTTTGGGCAATACAATAATGTAATAACTTTATCCTTGGCAGGTGAAAAAAGATGGGGCAGGGTTAAAAAGCTTTCAAATATTTTAACCACATATCCTTGGCAGTCAGTCAGTCAGTTTTCTAACTTAAAGCTACCAGTACCACTCTAACCACCATGTGATACAAAAGAATGTTACACTCTAGTTCCAAGCTTCATGACAAAAAGAGAAGCAGCTGTGCTTAGAAACTGCAGTTCATGAATACTGATTGCACAATTATCTCAAGATACAGTGGCCTCACGTGGAACTTATACGACATCACAACTGTAGAAGCACCAAGGCCTCAAGACTTGGTAACCATATTTTGTTAGCGGGAAATTATACACTGACAATACCAGACATCCATGGAACAACAACTGGTGCATTTGGGTGGGCATTTCTGTATGATTCCGAATACCGGTCCTTAAAAGTCGTTTTAGGTTTCTCTGCCTGCATTTGCAAATCAAAGGGACAGCTTTAGCCATCATTCATAAATTATCAGACATTCAGACATAAGGAGGAGAAAAAGCATGGTAGGTAGTAAACTTAATGAAGGGGGACCAAGAACTAACATATTTCAGCCAGCACTCCTGATGTTTGTGTTGATAAATATCCGGAGAATGGCATCCTGTCTCAGATGGACAATAAACCCATATGTTGCATTTCTTGTCATTACGTCCAGCATTCTTAGCTTGATTCAAACAGGCCATGCAACACTCATATGCAGATTCTTTTGGGTGGGTTAGGCCCCACCTGACTGCATCGCCACCGTAATCAGTATGAAATTCAACGTTACACTCAGGAGGAAGCCGCCTGCCAGCTATAATTTCATTGTCTGGAGAATGGAAGTGAATACTGGGTTAGAAACAAGAAAGCAAAATCTTCCCCAGGGAGCTTGTTTTGACAGAGGAGCAAGTTAGTGAGTGAAAGTAGTTCATGTTACAGTGCTTTAACTGCACAAATTGAGCAGAAATACTATCTATCCACCATATTTTACCTTCTCCTATCTTCTACGCAGAAAACAACTACACTTCTGTCAGGAAATAAAGATAGGGAATAAAGTGAATGACATATCTGAATCAAAACAATAAACTCAAGATTTTGACTGAAAAATGAAGTACGTCATTACCAAATTCTTCTTCACCCTCAGGTTTGTCATCACGTTCCTTATTAATTACTGCAACAGGTATCCAAAGACCAATCTCTTCTGCAAGATCAGCCCAGTCAACATCCAAAGCTTGTGCAAGTACACCTGCAAGCAAATTTCCTAAGAACTATTAAACCATCTTGTCAAAGTACATATGGATTATGGGCTAGGAAAAAGAAACCCAGGTTAACATCAGCTTAAAGCTCAATATAGAAAGCGTGAACAAAAACTGAGTTACAAACGAAATAAAAACAGTCATAAGTAAAAGAACGTACTAGCTTCCTCTGGGGCAATAGTTGAATTTGACGTCTTCCTATTAATAAGCTTCCTGGCTTCTTTTAACTTTTTCCTGCGCCAACTTTCAACTGCCTCTGTTCACCAGAAACAACACCAACAATGATAACCAGGAAGAAGTAAAGAAAAACAACAGAAGGAATACTACTGAACTGTAAAATGATATTGATTCAATATTGACTTATTCACAGAGCACTAGAACCGACAAAGAATGTAATAACAAATGAAATCAGTAAACGGTAACTACTATATTTGCATAGACATGTATCCTTCAAGTAGTACTCTTGAATAATTTGCATTTAAGTAGATCATCCAATTTTTGTTGCACAAGAAGACCTTAGTCCAATATAGAATAATTTACTCATAAAAGTAATCATGTCGACTTGTTCAGAAATATTGCAGTTCTAAGTGGCATCTTTTGTTGGGAACAGATACATGAAATAAGCATCTTTCATGACATACTTTTGAACTCATTTATCAACTCAAGAATGAAAAATATGCAGGTCATCTAGTGACTCCAATAAAAGTGAAACCACAGAGAGGGGGTGGGGGTGGGAGATCATTTTTCATTAGCTTCTTGCAACTGATGGTGATTGCAGAAAATAGCTCATGGAGAAACAGAAAAACAACTGCATGTTTGCATTTCCCAGTAACTTACCCCTTTACAAAAGTTTAAAAATCAAAAGAATCTTCTTTTACTGTGGTTATAAAAAAAAGAATCTTTTACCGTGATTTTCTCATACATTTTCTTAATCATAAGATTTACGGGCAACACTATTATTATGTAGTTAATATTATAAATTTGAGTTTGAGAATATGAATTAATCAATGTCCAAACCGATACCGAAGATCAGTAAATTGAACCTTGTAAACCAATTCAGATCAAGTTTTCTAGAATGCAAGGAATATCGTAATATTTATTTGCCTCTAATTAGCAAATTCTATGCTGCATAAAGCAAAGGCAGTAGGATTTGGCTCGACACTTTCCAGAACTCTAACTCTTCTTTAGATGTATGCAAGTACATCAATTCTTTTATTATTATAATTTTTTTGGATATGGTAAAACCCCAATCCCACAAACCACATATCAAAAGCCTCACAGTGGCCATCTCCCACTTTTTTTTTTTATGAAGTGAATATTATTAACAAAAGGCATCAAGAAGATGCAGATGTTACAAAGAAACAGAAAGTAGCAGCCCAAAAATATTAACAAAAGATCTATCATAAGACTAAGGAGCTGATAAATTCCAAAAAGGATTCAGGGTTATAAACAGGGGGTAAGATTAACCCAGCAGTGGCCATCTCCCACTTTTGCTTCCTTGATGACTCGACCCGCTAACCTTTATGCTTGGAAGTGGAGGTGGAGGTGGAGGGTGGTCCTTCCCACTGGCTCTCAGTTCCAGCTCATTTGGTAAAATGTAAGTAAATAAAAGAAATTGGCACCAGGCTTGCCGAATGTCAAGCCACTGCCAACACCACAATGAAAAAAAATTTATTGCATGCTAAGCTCAAGAGGACTAACAGTCGACTAGCATCTACTACCTCCATTTCAATTCATGTGGTGGTGTTTGACTGGACACGATGTTTAAGATATTCATTTGACTTATTTATATTACTTGTAGTGCAAGAAAATAGTATGTAATGGCTGAAAAGTTAATTTTGATAGAGAAAACATCATTGTAGATTCTCGACTTTTTGATATACCTCTTGTAAACAGGAGCTTTTCCCAATTTCAATAAAATTCCCTACCTTATCTAAAGAAAGATCACTTCAAAGAAATGCATCTCTTTAAGCTTTTTCTTTTCATCAAACCTTATAGAAGTGCTTTGGTTTACTAACAGGTAAGGGTACATTAATGGGGAGGGATTTTAATTGCTTTTTGATTTAAATTTGGGGAGGTGCTATCATAAAGATGTAGTAATACCAAGGGGAATCAGGATAAGTAGATCATAATGCGGGTGATTTATTTTATCAAATTTTGTGGAGGCGTTAACAAACAGATGCAGTAATACCAAGGGGAATCAGGATAAGTAGATCATAATGCGGGTGATTTATTTTATCAAATTTTGTGGAGGCGTTAACAAACAGATGCAGTAATACCAAGGGGAATCAGGATAATCACAATGCAGGTCTTCTATATCCAGGTACGTTTCATAAGATTAAGGGCATGATTTGAGTTACAAGAATTAAATTTTGCCAAGCATAACAAATAATTGATATTTCATCTGAAAATCTTTGAACATAAACAATCAATGGTAAATTGTTAGCTCATGTTTAACTGTAATTGTCAAGGTACATGAAGACAGAAAGAAAGCCAGTTGAAGCACTAAGTAAAGTAATGAAAGGAAATGAAAGGAACCGTAGATATTTTGATGGGATTTCAACTCCCAACCACACTCTCAAAGCCACTTGTTTAATTAACTTATTTAGTTGGTTCAATCAGGCCCCTGAAACTAGTGTTGAACTATTTCTGGATTTTGTCCGCTCCTTAGCTGTCCTGTAAGTTTTTATAAGTTTTTGTATATGAGCAGACAATACCTTTATGTTATAATTTTTGCTATGCATCTTGTTGATGCCATATAATGAAATTCCCTTACTTCGTCACAAAAAAGTAAAGTAATGAAAAATATAAAGAACTTGCATAATTGAGGTCGGGTGATGGGAGGCAAAGGGGAGGGAGAGGAACAAAGGGGAAGAGATGGAGGGCAAACTNCCCCCCAAGATGGTCTGTGTAAGATTGAGTATTGTGCTTATAGTAACAAGTAATATTTACTTTTTTTTTAAAGAAAAAACAAAGTATAAGTTGAAAATTTCTAAACAAACAACCAATAAGAATACCAAGAGTAAAATGGTATCTATCACATAAGAAGGACCATTTACAATATGGAGCTAAGACGGGTAATCTATGGGCCCTATAATTAGACCGTAATGAACTACAGAATGGATCAAGTTAAAATTATTTGCATAGAAACTGCTCATAAACAGCTGAAGTACCAATTTTGATATTATGAGATGATAATCAAACGCAGCTCATTCAATGGGGTGGGATCTACTGAAGTTCAACTGGCTCTGGCAGTCTTGACTTCAACTAGTAACCGTGTTAGTTGTAACCAAACAAAAATCTCAAATGACAAATGGATAAAGGCATTTGATCAATCATGAAGAAACAATTTGCAATAACACCAAAATGACATTTCGGTGGAAAAATAATCTCTAGGAAATAAAGAAGCAAGAAGAATCTATATTATATGCAAGTGCAAGAGGTCTTCTACCTTAGCTATCAGATAAAGCATTTTTTTAATAAATCACAAATATACTTCTAAAGGCTTGACAAAGTGGAGGGGGAGCAATTTAAAAAGTAGCCATTTAAAGTTTGTATCGGTGATGAGACAGTTATAGGACATATTAGTGTAGATCTTAACCAGACAAAGACACAGAACGTTAGAAGAATGATTTGTGTATAGAGAACAACAACTATTATTTTTCTCTGATTAAGTAAGAATTGTAGTGATATATTGGAGCAATCTCTCGTATACAAAAAGCAAAAAAGCCTAACTGATAAAGAAGATGATTCTCTACGAATCTAACCCAATTATCAATGGTAACCGGAATCTCATGAGTACAACAAAATATTTAAGAAACAGAAAGCATCCCCTAATTTGTAAAAATGAGTTTTCCCCCCTTTAAAATCTCTCATAGTGCGTTCAAATCAAATTGTCCATCTCTATGCTAAAGGCACTACTTTCTAAGCTCTAGTTCTCATTTTCTTCTAAACCCTTATGATGTATTTAATTGCATATTATGTCTAAATCTCATCCACAACTCTATTTATCATTTTTTTTAATTACGAAAAATCTCCGAGAGCCATTGGCACATGGTTCATAACTCGATGGATAATGGGCTTGTCACTATACCCTTCTCTATTTAAACACCAAGTTTTTTGTCCGCGGTAAGATTCAAACTAGTTCCGTGCGCCTAAACCACACATCACGTGTTGTGCTCTTACCACTAAACCAAAGTCCCAGGAGCAACCACAACTTTTTTTAGTAAGGACAATATATAAGGAAACCTGGAAATCTATCAAGATGAGGAACCAATCAATTATGAACTTGTGACTTCAGATCTAAGCAATAGACTAATGATCAAGTAAATGTTACAACATTTTACTGAACTTTTCCCCTCCAAATGAAGAAGTTAGACGACCAAGGAGGCGGGTTCAATGGATGTTAATTTGAACTTTCCCATTCAATGCTTGGGTTCAAATTCTTGTGTTCATACTTAGACTTTCATATAATCAAGAATTCAGTACATTTACATTTTAGAATTATCTATGTCATAATATGTTCTGAGTAGGAGAATATTATATATACTTATGTCCTATATCCCTTTTTTTCTGATGAAGTAAGTAATTGTCATTAAATGGCATCAAGAAGATGCAAAATAAGTACAAAAGAGATGATAATGTAAGCTCCAAAATACAAAAGATCAGTTAAAAGATCAGGGAGCCAACAAAATCCAAAAAATTAACTGGGCATTGTACAGGTTTGAGGAAATTCCAACTGTATAGATTAACTAAACATGAGCCCTTCGAAGTGTGAGTTGGAGTTGAGATTCCATCAAAATATCTGTGGTTCCTTTCGTTCCAAATACACCAAAAGATAGTAGCTGGGATCATTCTCCAGATTTTCTTGATGGCTTTGTCCACTCTGCAAGAGTTCCAGTATACATAGACCTCCGTTGGAGACTGGAGTTGCACCCAATTCAGTCCAAAAATAGAGACAAAAAAATTCCACAACTGTGCTGCAACTGGGGCAGTGAAGAAAGAGGTGACTGATGGACTCCAGATTCTGATGACACACATAACACCTGTTGACCAGTGGGATGCTTCTTCTACATAGATTGTCTTGAGTTAGACGGGCAATGTTTATGACAATCCATGCGAAGCATATCACCTTGGTGGGAAGTCTTGTTCTCCATATGAGCTTCCAAGGCTAGTTTTCAATTATGTCATTCTGGGCACTTAAATGGTAATAGCATGTTTTAACTGTGAAAATACCCCTGCTTGAATTGGCCCATGACATTCTATCTGGCTGCGACTCTTCTATGTTGAAACCTTCAAGCCTCAACTGAAGCTAATAGGGCAAGGAAGTCATCACACTCCCAATCCTGTTAATTCCTTCTAAAAGTAATGTTCCATGTGTTCCCCTCTCTATTCTCAGCACTAGTTGAATCAGGATTGCAGGCGATCAATGTAAGTGCAGGATGAGAGTCTTTCAAAGCATTGCTTCCCAACCACTTGTCCTTCCAGAATTTGACATGAGTTCCATTACCCACCTTATAGGAAATGTTCCGGAAGAATTCGTTGTTGTAACTGGAAATGTGCTTCCATAGGCAAGTGCCATGAGCTGTTGTAACCCTTTTCGTGCACCAGTTATTCTGAGCCCCCTACTTAGCATTTGGAGAGCATGCTTTTGTTGTGCAGCTTGAGGTCTCTTATGCCTAGGCCTCCCAAGTGTCTTAGGGTAGGTAGCCTTGTTCCATTTTACCAAGTGAAATTTGTGTGTTTGGCATCTCCCTTCCCATAGAAATGATCTCCTAATTCTGTCAATCTTCTTGAGGACTGAACTTGGCATAGGGAAAAGGGTCATATGGTATGTTGGTATGCTATCAAGCACACTATTAATCAGTGTAAGTCTTCCTCCCATGGATAAGCATTGCATTTGCGAAGAAGCCAATCTCTTCTCAAACTTCCCAATAATGCCATCAAGATCCATGTTGCCTTGAATTTTTCTCCCAATGGTAGTCCCAATTAAGAAGCATGAAAGGTACCAATGCTACAACTTAGAATACCAGCAAGCTCTTCTAGGTTTGGGACTTCATTAACAAGGTAAATTACACTCTTCAACATGTTAATATGCAAACCAGACAAAGCTTCAAAGATAAGGAGAGTGTGGTTGAGATTGAGGACTTGTTGTGTATCAGCTTCACAAAATATCAGAGTATTGTCTGCATAGAGCAAATGAGAGAGGTTGATAGAACTTGCTGGATCCCTGCCCACCTGGAAGCCCTGTATCCACTCCATTTGCCTGGCCTTTTCCAACATTCTAGTAAGCCCTTCCATAGCCAATATGAATAGGAATGGGGAGAGGGGATCTCCCTGCCTTATACCTTTCTGGGGAGAGAAAAAACCAATTGGTCCTCTGTTTACCAATATTGAGTACTTCACTGTTTTAATGCAATATTCAATCCATTTGATCCATTTTCCACCGAACCCCATCTTTTCCAGAATATTGATAAGGAACGACCAGCTTAGCTGATCAAAAGCCTTTTCAATATCCAATTTACATTGGATTCCAAGAATGCCACTTTTACTCCTCCAGTCAAGCACATCATTTGCAATAAGTGAAGCATCAGAGATCTGCCTGCCTTTAATAAATGCATTCTGCTGTCCAGAGACCAGTTTCCCTATCACTTTTTTTAATCTTTCAGCCATAACTTTTGCAGTCAGTTTGTAGACACTTCCAATTAGACTGATAGGCCTATAGTCT